TTCCATGGATGATCTTTGATGCAATCTTGGTGATTTAGTCCACTCACACTCATGCTTTTCACTCACACACTAGTAGGTAGTGCACCGCCACATCCATGGATGATCTTTGATGCAATCTTGGTGATTTAGTCTACTCACACTCATGCTTTTCACTCACACACTAGTAGGTAGTGCACCGCCACATCCATGGATGATCTTTGATGCAATCTTGGTGATCTAGCCTACTCACACTCATGTTTTTCACTCACACAGTAGTAGATAGTGCACCACTACTTTCATGGATGATATTTGATGCAATCTTGGTCATCTAGCCTACTCACACTAATGTTTTTCACTCACACACTAGTAGGTAGTACACCGCTACTTCCATGGATGATTTTTGATGCAATCTTTGTGATCTAGCCTACTCAAGTTCATGTTTTCCACTCACACACTAGTAGGTACTGCACCGCTACTTCTATGGATGATCTTTGGTGCAATCTTGGTGATCTAGTCTACTCAAACTCTTGTTTTTCACTCACACACTAGTAGGTAGTGCACCGCTACTTCAATGGATGATCTGTGATGCAATCTTGGTGATCTAGCCTACTCAAGTTCATGTTTTTCACTCACACACTAGTAGGTAGTGCACCGCTACTTCTATGGATGATCTTTGGTTCAATCTTGGGGATCTAGCTTACTCAATCTCATGCTTTTCATTCACACACTAGTGGATAGCGCTCCGCTACTTCTATGGGTTATCTTTGGTTCAATCTTGGGGATCTAGCCTACTCAATCTCATGCTTTTCACTCACACACTGGTAGATAGTGCACCGCTTCTTTCAAGGATGGTGTTCGATCCAATCTTGGTGATCTAGCCTACTCTATCTCATACCTTTCACTCACACACTAGTAGGAAGTGCATTGCTTCTTTCGTGGGTGACCTTTGGTTCGTTCCTGGTGATCTAGCCTACTTAGACTCTTGCTTTCACTCACATGAGTAGTAGGATGTGCTCTGATTCTTCCATGAATAGATCTTTGCTCAAATCTTTGTGTTTGATCCTGTTAGACTCTTGCTTTCACTCACATGATAGTAGGTGGTGATCTGGATCTGTCGTAGGTGATCTTTGCTCTAAGCTTGCATTTTGAACTAGAATAGCTTGCGCTCACTTCTCACATGATGGCTGTCCGTTTCAAAACTTGGTTACATTCTTGAGTAATAAACTTATATGATTGAACTAGTGTAGCTTGTGTTTCATCCCTCAACTACTTGGTGTTGTTCCGTTTCACCTTTGGCTGTTCCCCTTGCATTCCACATTGTGTATGAACTAGTCTTGCCTGTGTTTTTCATCCCTCAACTACTTGGTGCTGTTCCGTTTTACTCTTGGTTGTTCCGCTTGCATTCCACATTGTGTATGAACTAGTTTAGCCTGTGTTTTTCATCCTTCAACTTCTTGGTGTTGTTCCGTTTTACTCTTGGTTGTTCCCCCTTGCATCCCACTTGTGTATGAGCTAGTCTAGCCTGTGTTTCATCCCTCAACTACTTGGTGTTGTTCCGTTTTACTCTTGATTGTTCCCCCTCGCATCCCACTTGTGTATGAACTAGTCTAGCCTGTGTTTTCATCCCTCAACTACTTGGTGCTGTTTCATTTCACCTTGGGCTGTTCCCCTTGCATTCCACATTGTGTATGAATTAGTCTAGCCTGTGTTTTTCATCCCTCAACTACTTGGTGCTATTCCGTTTTACTCTTGGTTGTTCCCTTTGCATTTCACATTGTGTATGAATTAGTTTAGCGTGTGTTTTCATCCCTCAACTACTTGGTGCTGTTCCGTTTTACTCTTCGATGTTCCCCTTGCATTCCACGTTGTGTATAAGCTAATCTAGTATGTGTTTTCATCCTTCAACTACTTGGTGTTGTTTCGTTTTACTCTTGGTTGTTCCCCCTTGCATCCCACGTGTATATGAACTAGTCTAGCCAGCGTTTTCATCCCTCAACTACTAAGTGTTGTTCCGTCTTACTCTTGGCTATTCCCTTTGCATTCCACATTGTGTATGATATAGTCTAGCCTGTGTTTCATCCCTCAACTACTTGGTGTTGTTCCGTTTTACTCTTAGCTGTACCCCCTTGCATCCCACTTGTGTATGAACTAGTCTAGCCGGTGTTTTCATCCCTCAACTACTTGGTGCTGTTCCATTTTACTCTTGGCTGTTCCCCTTGCATTCCACATTGTGTATGATTTAGTCTAGCCTGTGTTTCATCCCTCAACTACTTGGTGTTGTTCCGTTTCACTCTTGACTGTTCCTCATTGCATCCCACTTGTGAATGATCTAGCCGAGCTTGTGTTTCATCCCTCAACTACTTGGTGATGTTCCGTTTCACCTTTGGCTGTTCGCCTTGCATTCTACTTGTGTATGGACTAGTCTAGCCTATGTTTTCATCCCTGAACTACTTTGTGCTGTTCCATTTCACCTTTGGTTGTTCTCCTTGCATTCCACATTGGGTATAAGCTAGTCTAGCCTGTGTTTTCATCCCTCAACTACTTGGTGCTGTTCCATTTCACCTTATGTTGTTCCCCTTGCATTACGCATTGGGTGTAAGCTAGTCTAGCCTGTGTTTCATCCCTCAACTACTTAGTGCTGTTTTATTTCACCTTTTGTTGTTCCCCTTGCGTTCCACATTGGGTATAGTCAGTTTAGCCTGTGTGTTTTCTACTTGGTGCTGTTCCGTTTTACTCTTGGTTGTTCCCCCTTTGCATCCCACTTGTGTATGAACTAGTCTAGCCTGCATTTTCATCCCTTAACTACTTGGTGTTGTTCCGTTTTACTTTTGGTTGTTCCCTTTGCATTCCACATGCATGTGTCCTTCGCTAGTTCTAGCTTCTCATTGTCAAGTTCATGTATGATGTGATGTTCCGATTCAGTCTTAGTTGATCCCCCCTCCATGTACATGTGTCCTCCACTAGTTCTAACTTCTCATCGTCAAAGTTCATATATGTTGTGATGTTCCGGTTCATACGTAGTTGATCTTTCACTATGGGATGGGTGACCGACACTTGACTGCTACTACGGGGTGATGATTTGATTAGGATTAGAAATCTGTTCTTTCTCTCTCTCTCCCGGTCCCTTGTGCCACCAAGAAGACAAAAAAAAAGGATGTTTGAAAAAGTGGGAAAGGAGGAGATCCGGAGAAAGTATAAGTCAAAGCGAGGTCAGTTTGACTCAACCATTTCCCCGACTGCATGACTATGAGAAGAGGATGGGCTGATTGAGCAAGGAAAAGGAACAAAAAGCAGCAAGAGAGCATGAAAAAGATAGGCATGTGGGAAGGGCTATGTGTTGATCCCCAACGGGCCCCAACGGGGGATTGTATGAATCTTTGCCTTATGTGGGATTGTGCAGGTAAGTGATGGCTGTGGATGCCTTGAGCGGGATAGGACCGGGAGAAACCGGGCGTCAAAAGGAAAAGGGAAGAGGGGCAAAGGGACTACGAGACCCGTAGCTTAAAGCCAATCCATGGAAATGACCTTTGCGTTTGAGACTTGAAGTGTGAATGAGGGAAGGGAGTGCAATCTTGCCAAGAGAAATGTTAAGTTGTGTGTGCATGTATATAAGGCCCTGAAAAGACTAAGGGGCCTGCGTCAATAGGGTTGAATGAGATGTATGAGGCCCAATGGGCTCGTAGAGGTGAGGGGGAGGACGACATCGTCGCGCCCCGATGACGCCGTAGGAACACAATGCTTAGGGAAATGGTGCGCGACCTAAGGATGACGCTTAGCTTGCGCACAAAAGAAGAAAAACACTAAAAAAACCCTTGGACTGCCTGCGTATTGGAAGGAGCAATTGCCTGAGAACATAACTAAGAAAAAAAAAAAAAATCAGCGTTGCGGAATGACCAGCGAGACTGCCACCCGGCGTGAGGGTTGAGCTACATCCCCAATGTCAAAACTCTCTCGTGCGATGGCCCACCCCCATCCATCTCAAAGCATAAGGTGGGGGTGCCCCTGGGACGAATGGCCCGCGCCCTGAGCATAAGCGTGGGCAGGTCGAGCCAACTGGGACCCGCAACGGGGTCGACTAAAGCTCAAAAGTATACTGGGGTCTGGCCCTACAACGGGCTCCAGGGATATACGATGAAACGGAGGATCCCCAACTCTCTACCGTTACCATCAATGATTCTCCAGAGTCAATACACACAATCCATGATTGGCGACTTAGGGTTGGCTATCCTCCTAGTACGTAGCTTAGGGCTTGAGGCTGGCGTAGTAGTTCCTTGGTACGGGATGTCGGGGGTGTCAGATACTGCACCTTACCACGGGGCTGGAACAGGCTCCAGGGATATACGATGGAACAGAGGATTCCCAACTCTCTACCATCAACACAATAGAACATTGCAATACACACAAAACTCAGGGTTGGCTATCCTCCTAGTACGTCGCTTAGGGCTTGAGGCTGGCGTAGCAGTTCCTTAGTACGGGATGTTGGGGGTGTCAGGAGATACTGCACCGTACCGCGGGGCCGGAACGGGCTCCAGGGATATACGAGGTAACGGAGGATCCCCAGCTCTCTGCCACGCCAGGGCAAAAATGATAAGAGGAAGGGTGAGTGGCCCAGGATGGGGTCTTCAGAGGGATTCAGCTGGACAACCGAGTGGCCGAGTACTGTGGATAACAGTCATTGGTCTAGTATCGCGCCTCTACAACAACCTAACCCGGTCCTGTGGAACTGGGTTCCAAGAGGCGAAAATACCAAAAGCGACTTACCTAAAACTACCCCTAACCCGGGGCCCGGGTTGAATTGTGAGGTCCGTGGCCTCCTTTCTGAGATTATAATGAGCACGTGTTGGAACCCTGACAGATGGTAATACGTGACAATTAATAGATGACAGATGATGTTATGTTATTCCCCTGCGAAAAAAGCGTGCCATTTTCCCCCTTCCTTTCCCGCTCGCCGGATGTGCACCGTGCTGCCCTGCTTCGGTCGCCGGATGGTGCCGCTTTTCCGGTCATGTGCGACCGGCGGTCGTTGTACTCCGCCGCCCCTCCGTCCTTGTGCGACCGACGATCGTTCCACTCCGCCGCCCCTCCGTCCTTGTGCGACCGACGGTCGTTGGTCGCTCATTGGTCTCTCGTTCCGGAGAGGAGGGGGTGGCGGGGACAGAGAGAGGGCGTGGTCACGTCAGCGCCCCGTATTCTTGAGGATGTCGAGATCCCCTCTTTACTTATCCACATCTCCTTCTCCTCGCTGTAACACGTCGTCGGGCGTTCGTGGCTCCACAGCCAGCCAGGTTCTCACGGGGTAAGTACGATCCATCTTTGGCCACCTCATCTCAATCAAACGCCGAATTTTCTTCCCTCCCATTGCCCTCTCTCCTCCTTCCTCCTCGCTCTCTGCCGTTCCTGGGCCGCAGTCCCGTTAGCGAAGAGGATTGTGAATTTAATGCCTGAATCTGGACGTGTTTGTGGACATGTGCAGAAAAAAATCGCGATTGACGTGATATTCTGCATTTCTGCAGACATCAGATCCACATTCAGGCGCTTAACCCAATCCTCTTCGCTAGAGGCACTGCGCCCCTGGTGAAACAAGGGACCTGCCAAGGAAATATATAAATCCCTTTTACAAAAATCAAGATCGATGATGATATCTCAAGGCCGTCGCCCTTTTTTTTTTTTTAATATCGAGATCGGGAAAGACTGACGTGTCAGACGCTGGCTGACGTGTCGGTTGGTGCCTTCACGAGTTTCTTTTCTTCAATTAAAACAGGAGAAAAAAGACGTGAATCGCCAATTTCAGAGGAGTTCAGGGGGTGCTCTCTGAAAATTGGCGGGCATGCTCACAGTAGCATTTTCCTAAATGTATCTGACCACAATGACGGCCGGACCTGGATGCATTTGACCGCAATCACGTCCAGATCTTAGTCCAAAAAGTCCTAGTATGAGTATGCCCTGACTCTGGTATGATTAATAGCTCGGATGGATTTATGAGTGGCGGGCAAGTGCACTCGCTGCAGTGGCTCTGATATTTTTTATGGGGCGGGGGAAGGAGGGCGACGAGGGAGGTAGGATTATCTTGGGCCCCCGAGGTAGGAGGGTGAAAAGTTGGAGAGGCGTGGTGATTAGTCCGGATCTCGCGCCTGATCTCGACGTTGATTTGTGCACTGCCTTATCTGGAACGAGGCGGGGTGATTGGTCGGGATCCCACCCGGATTATCCTTCCTAATTGACAGAGTAAGCGGGAAGGAGAGGGAGGGCAGGGAGGGGCCGGGGGAGGGATGGGTGAAGCGGAGTTGGAGGGGAAAGGGGAGGGGGGAGGAGGGAGAAGGGGAGAGGAGAGCAAGGGGGAAGAGTGGGAGATGTGTGGCTTCTCGACACTGCATGTGGTCGGAATTCCGTCCTTTCTTCATCTACCCCTTCCGTTGGTGTACAGGCGCTTCATGTTTACTCTACCACATGGGACGATCGCCGTGTAGTCGATTGATAAAAAAAGAAAAAAAAAGAAAAAAGATGAACTGCGGACCCGTTATTTGCCTACCTTCCTTTCCCGAACAGATGCACCCTCATAATGAGTGTATACAAGCTGTCTTTCCGGTCTGATACAGTCGTGATGAGGTCGCGTTGTGCTTGGGGAAGACGGTAGTCTAGGGTCATATACCAGACGTGTTGTTTTATTTTTTAGTATTCCACAGGTGTTGACTGTCTCGGATCATTGTCCTCTGGGCTTTTTAAGGTCTGATACAGTCATTCAATTGAATGCATACAAGCTATCTTTCCGGTCTGATACAGTTATTCAATTTGAATGTTTTTAATGGAATGTTTTTAATTGAATGTTTGTAATCGAATGTATTTAATTGACAGAATGTCCTTGTTTTCAATTTTTAATATCTAATCGAAGGCAGTCTCAAATTGTTAATTGACTGTTTAATTTCATGTTTGAAAGTGAGAAAAACAGTAGTAGAAAGTGACTCTTTGTTTACTTGAATATATGTGCAATTTAATGTTTTTATAATTTTTAAATTGAAGCGCTGTTACTCGATTTTTGAACTCATTTTTTCCAATTTTTTAATATTTAATTGACGTCCGTTTTTTTTTAACATAATTGAACATAATTGAACATAATTGAACGTAATTGAACGTAATTGTCAATTCTTGAACATAATTGAAGTCATTCTGTTTACTTTAGTGTTTGACGTTTGTTTATTGAAGTTTGAACGTAGATTTTGCCAACTTCAATTGTAATTGAATTGCTGTTAATTGATTTTTCGAACATAACTTGGAGAGAAAAAAAACAAGGGGAAAATCTAAAGTGGCTGATGTTGAAAATTGGAATGTTCTGATTAACCAAAAAAGAGAAAAAAAAAGAAAAAAGAAAAAGGCGCCTGATGTGTGTATGTGTATTAATCAGCGTCGTTTCACACTTTTGTAAACGGTGTCACCTCCTCCTGTTTTTTTTTTCCACTTTGCCAGGAATAATAATATGAATGCCACATGTAATACTATGACTGGACATCCCATCAAGGCGTCGATTACCCAATCAAACCATCATAACGATCGGCTGGTGCACGGGCGGCTGCGGTCGCTGACGTGTCACCTGAGGGGGGGTCCAGACGGGCTAGCGGCCGCCACGTGTCAGTCCCTCAGCTCATCACGGCGCAAAGCAGGTGTCTTCAAGAACACTGATCGGCACGCAGCAGGTGTCATCACCGAGGGATTCGGGGCCACGTGGCAGCGCAGTTTCCCACCCACGCCGTCGCGACCTTTTCCCGCTATTTCGTTTCCGACGGCTGCTCGTCGAATGGAGTGTGCGGAGCAGATGGCGCATGGCGGGAAATGGGCCAGCTTGGAGCCGGCATCCAATGGCGGGAATTGGGAAAGCATGGAGCGGATGATGACTCAGAGCGGGACATCGGAACGCGAAAACGAGTCGAGCAACGGTGCCATTGGCAGTGGTAAGACCTCTCCCGCTCCCACTCTGATATCACGTTTATGCATTGTCACAGACGTATGTATATATATTGTCACAAAGTTATCAGAGCGCAAAAGCGAAAAGAAAACAGAAAAAAAACAAAGAAAAATAAATTCATTTTTTTTATCTTCTTCCTTACAACTCCGCCTGTTCAGAACCTCTTGCGTACAAGGCCGCCCACGTGGATGTAGGTAGAGCGGCGGCTGCCCCCACCCCCGTGTGTCATATATATATGTTTTTTGCCTTCGCGCTTTGATTCACACTGTGACATCATATGATGCGGCGAGAGTTGGGCCTGTACTAGCAGTCTCTTTCTTTGGCTATGGTAGAATCTACTCTTTTCTAATTTTCCTTTCTATCCTTTTTCTTTTTCCTTTGCTTTGCTCTTCCCCATTGTTGGGGTATTTCGTTTTACGGACCTACTGTATGGTTCCGTTTTTTCAAGTGTTGGTTATGGTAGAATTGTTGGTATTTTGGTATTCTTTGTCTGCATCGTGGTTGGTTTTGTCTTGTTGTTCGGTTCACATGGTGGTGTTTTCATGTGGGTTGTTCGGTCCAGGTGGCGGTGGTTTCATGTGGGACTTGTCATCCGGGTTTTCCTTTTGGCATCCTAGTTGACTGGTTCCCGTTGTTTGGCCTATTGAAGGGGGCGGTGCTTTTAGGTGGGAATGGTCATCTGGGATTGTCTTTAGATATATTTTTTGCAGGCAGGGGTGTTGATTGCTATCCTGGTTGTCATTGTCCCGTCGTTTGGCCTGTGACGTAGGGGGCGGTGCTTGCATGTGGGACTTGTCATCTAGGATCTGTTATGTTTGTTTTTTGGCACCCTTGTCTGCATCCTGGTTGATTTTGTCCCATCGTAGCGGTGCATCCGTTTTTTTTTGGTTGTTCGGCCTATGAGAGCATGAATGGTTTAGGAATGGGAATACCCACGTCTTGATGACGAATAAGGCCATCTGCTGTCTATAGTTTTTTTCGCAGACAAGAGTTTTGTCCTGGGTGGTCTTGTCCCGTCGTTTGGCCTGTGAAGGAGGGGCGGTGCTTGCATGTGGGACTTATCATCTAGGATCCGTTTTTGGTGCTGTTGCTTGTTGCCCCCTGTTTTGTTGTATTTGGCTGTTCCCTTCCTCTTTTCTTTGCCTCTTTGCCCTTTGGCTGTGTGCAAGTGGGTCGATATGACACATGGGGGTGGGGGCAGCCACTGCTCAACCTACATCCACGTGGGTGGCCTTGTACGCAAGAGGTTCTGAACAGGGGGAGTTGTAAGTAAGAAGATAAAAAACGAATTGGTATCTTTTTTGTTTCCTCTTTTTTTTTTTTTTTTTGGCTTTTGCGCTCTGCTGCAATGGCTGTATATAAATGTTTCTAATGCGGACATGACTGTGGACGTCCGTGAACTTGAATGCCTTATCCGGCGATTTCAACATGTCCGACAACGATATATTGCCCACTCCCGTGACACCTTCGGAAACTTTATCAGGATTGTGCATATGCATGAGATCCTGAAGGCCACTAAGTTGCGCCATGTGTTGCATTCTCCGGATGTGTGTGCATTACACCCCGACCCCCAGGCAGCTAGCACTATTCGTATCTGTGACAAACTCGTGCCCCCAACAAGGGTTGCAATTTTGTAATTTTACGAAGTTGCCTTGAGTGTCACTCCGGGCCTGTGCCTACCTGCTGCTGCTGATTGTCCTTGTCGTCGGGCATTTCCTAACTGCACCGATCTGGTTGACGGCCATGTTGTTTCCGCCAACTATGATCTGATTCCGGATGCTTGCCTCCGTCACTTGTTCTATGAGGGCTCAAAATATCGGCTGAATGGGGTAGTGGGGGATATACTTGAAGCATTGGCTGTTGGTATTGATGAGTATATTGCTGCTTATCTTCGTCCGACAGCACGACAATCCTGCGATGCTACCCTAGCTCCACAATTGGCTCTTTGGCGTGCCGCAGTTTTGCGTCGTTGTGAGTGCAATATGGCTGCCGCATCGCCATTGCGACAGCCTCGCTCTTTGCGACATGCGCATACGGCCCTCCGTCAGCTTCAAGAATCTTTCGCGATTGTTCCTGTGGATAAACATCACATAACTTGGCTATTTGTTGTAAAAATTGGTATCGATTTAAACTGTCAGCGGCTGACATTCTGAATAGCCATGCAGTTTGGAACAGTCATTGGAATTATCCTCATGCTGACACATTGCCGTATCTTTATTGTGCTCTTAAGGCCCATAAATCTCCTCCGACACTCCGTACTATTCTTGGTATCACCGCCCGCAACAATCTTTCTTCTTCTTCCTCTTCTCATATGGCCCAGTGGGGTGACCTGCACCCCTCCCAACGAGTCCAGCGTTTGCATCACCGACCGCCTCATAAGCCTGTAGCTAGTACAACACCTACATCGACTCGTTTGAGTGCAGCACTTCAAGGCGTCATCCGTACTCTTCACGAAAAAGATAATCAACTCTTTCAAACCAAAGGTTTTCGACGATGTTGGATTGTCCAGAGCAGTGACGAGGTCATGCTTGACCTCAAAAAGAATAAAGCTTCTCTCAGAGGTTTGGCCCCACATACGCTCGATTTCACTACTATGTATACTGATCTTTCTCATCAACGGATTCTTGACAATGTTGCTAATGCTGTTGATGAGGCGCATGCCTATGCTCTTGCACAGGTACGGCAGCATACACAGACACACTCATTGTGTGTTGCTCTTCGTATGGTGGTCCGTGGACCGTGTGCAGGGGAATGGACTATGGATACAGGACCTGACACTCTTTTTGTTTCTGACATTCTTCAACATCTTCGGTTTATTGTTACAAATACATATATGTATATATAGCCTCCTGATGAGTCGGTGAAACTCCGACGAAACAGTTTGTCACAGCCCCTCRTTTGTTGTCCTCTTCTCCCTCTCTGCCTACGGTTTACCGGGCAGTTCTATTTGACGATATATACAGCGGATGGCCTTGTTCGTCATCAAGATGTCGGTATCCCTATGGGTACAAACGCTGGTCCTGAGATTGCTAACCTCACACTCTATTGGGATGAGGCGCAGTACGTGGACAACCTGTAGCGTGTGGATCCCTCTGCTGCTCGCCGATATGTTTTTACATATCGGTTCATTGATGATGTTCTTACCTTTGATTGTCTGCCACCATCGTCAGCCTATTATGGTCTTGAATGGAAGGAGACCACTACGGCAGATGGCTCGTGCACCTTTTTAGGTGCGAAACTGCAAACACGAGCAGATGGATCTCTCCGATTGAGTGTGTTTGATAAGGCTGTTGCATTGGATTTTCCTGTTATACGATATCCTAGTGCAACGTCGAACATTCCATTTCATCAGCCTGCAGATGTATTCACTGGCCAGCTTACGCGGTTTGAGCAGATTTGTGACAATTGGCGTGATTTCAAAACTGCAGCAACCATGCTTGTCCGCCGTTTGCTCTCCCGTGGTCATGCTCCGTTAACACTGGCCCGTGGATGGACTTGTTACATTCGTGCTCGCCAGCGTCGACATCCTATACATGTAACTTGCCTTACACAATGGTTTCGACGTATGCTTCGCTGGTCCGTGCACCATCCTCTTCCACCCTCTCCCCCCCTTTCCTTCCCTTCTCCTTTTCCCATCCCCCCTTCTTCTCCCCCTTCTTTTCCC